TATGACAAGAGACAGGCTAGTCTAATGACTACAGCTCTCTAGGGAGTCCTTCTTGACCTCTGCTGTAGCTAACTGCTTCCATTATTCTTGTCCCACTGTGTTAAGAATGGAGATGGGGTGGGAGGAGCCTATCATAGCTCCACCCCCTTCAAGCTTTGAATGACAGATGCAAAAAAGTGACTCAGCAGGGGACCAGTGTGTGATGCAAAATCTTGCTTGACGGTTAATGATGGTTAAACTGTCTTTTTATAAAGCAACACACTATATATGGTGTATAATCTTAATATAAATTAAATATAGAGGTAAAAATCAGCCATTTTTGTGTCAAAAGTTCTATATGTGAAATCATACACACACATACACACAAAAAATTATCTGCATGGCTATGGTGTAATGAGAGCTTTCCCAGAGATATGGTTGCATAACTCATGCAGAGTGGCAAGTGCTAGTCATATGTGGGAGAGGCGCCTCGGGAGCGCCGGAAGGTCCCTCTGAGCAACTAGCCATGGTCAGGTTCACATTAGCCTAATCAGACAGGTTATCTGTGTACAAAAAACACTGGGTTTGGATGGGTGACACCAACCATGTCCACCTGCTGAGTCCATTGGCGTTGCTATAAAACTGTTTTGATGGGGGCTGATTTGTTTTGCTATACATGAGAAGGCCAGATATCTGACATAGCATCCTTAGACTGAATAGTGACTGCTTATGCTTGTTGGAAAGTTTTATAAATGGGCTAATAATTAAGTATTTATTTGAATAATGGAATAAGGTATCTTTAAGGGTACTCTCAGTTTCAGATACTGACCACCGCAGTCTGCTCACAGACTATATAATGCCATAAAATCAAAGGTCAAAGTTTGCCAGGTTAGTGACTTGAAATATTTTGAGGCACTTAGTAGCAAATAAACTAGACATCCTTGAGCAGATCTGTGTTGTCTGTACAATTTTGGACTGACCTGCTGTGCGACTGTTTGAATGAGCCAGTCTATTATTGTGGTAGAAGCTATTTCAGATAAACCTGCCTCTAGACAGTAAAAACAAAACAAACCATCTTTTCACATTTTACATGATGGTTAGACAGTCTGTTATTTTCTAAGGTGGCTTTCTTGGAAAGGAAAGCTGCAAAGTATCCTGGACTTTATCCTAATAGTAGAAATGATAACTAAATAGAATGTGTTCGGGTTGGGAAGTGATATCACAAACTTTGTTACCAATGGCTAGCCTGAAAGTTTAAAAATCTTTAAAGCTTGAAGGTTTTTTTCAGACAAAATCAGAAAAAGTCAGATTGACCAATTAAAACTCAGACAGACCATAGACCATATCAGACATTCTAGGCTAGCTCAGACCCCATTATTTAACTTCATCAGATGGCCAATAAACCACATCAAAAATACACATTAACATGTTTTTGTATGTTCCCATTATATTTTATTATGTTAGTAATGATTGCTAGAATTTTAACATACTGATAGCTAGGTGTTGCTGTTCTGTTTTTAAGCATGTTGCTAAGTGTTGCAAGCATGTTTTAAAGGGGTCATATGATGCGATTTCAAGTTTTCCTTTCTCTTTGAAGTGTTACAAGCTCTTGGTGCATAAAGATCATCTGTAAAGTTGCAAAGACTAAAGTCTCAAATCCAAAGAGATATTCTTTATAAAAGTTAAGAGTCAACCATGCCTACCTAAAGCAGCTCATTCTAACACGTCCCCACATGTCTACGTCACTATGTGGAAATATTAGCATAATGCCGCCCAAATGTGCACGCAAAGAAAGAAGGCATGGTTTCAGGAACAGCAGTAGTGTTAATGCAGCCATGTCAGGGAGACGCTGTGTGATTCAGTGCGAAAGCAAAAGCACTTTATTTGGCCTTCCGGAAGTAGATGCAATTAGGAATCATTGGTTAAGATTTATTTACAACAGAACAGCACAACCCATATTGCCCTTTCGGGCTTGAACTGATGGTAAAATAACGACATTATTAACTGTCTTGATATTTACTTTGAAAGCTGACGCTCGCGATTATGGTAAGGGACGTTACATTTCCGACGCGTGCTTGTGGTGTTCGGCCAATCACAATGCACTGGGTCAGCTGGCCAATCAGAGCAGACTGCGCTTGTCAAAGGAGGGGGCTTTGTTGAAAACTATGCATTTGAGAGAGGCGGGGCATAGAGGACCTACAATAATGTACATTATTTGAAAAATAATGTTTTTTTTAACATTAAAGCATGTCAACATATTCTGTTACATCAAATACACAAAATAATGATCTTTAAAATAGCATCATATGACCCCTTTAACATGTTTCTAGCGATGTTTGGTGTAGCTTGAATACACTATAGGATTTCATAAATGAAAAAGTTGCACCCTTGGATGAAAGTCTGTGGGAATTTGGGCCTGTTCAGAGGTCTGCTACAGGAAATTTGTAAGTTTAAATCGTTAGAAAAGATCTAGAAACTTGAGTCAGAACATTCTGAATGTCTGTGCCAACATTAGCGGATATGCCTTGAAAGCTGTGGGAGGAGTTATGTATAGAAATTAAGCTATAATAAGCTTAAATTTGACATATTGGCTTTGTCAAGTAAACATAATTCACTTCATGATTAACTTGCAATGTAAGGAGAGAAGAAGCCAATGAGAGGTTTTCACATGTAACAGTACTAATTTCTGCTCAGGAACTGGGGTGTTTCTGTATATCATTTATTTATAGAGTTGTTGTCTCAGCCAGGAATTGGCAAATCTTAGTCATGACACAAGAAGCTCTATTTTTACCTGGTTGTGTCACTAAACAAGTTTCACATTCAGAGAGGCAAAACTTTGTTTGTGATATTCACAGCTACCTCATGCTCTGTTCTTTTGCATGTTACTCATACTCATCATCCTGGGTGCCTTCCAGACGTCAACAGGCTGGATCAGGGCCATTTGCAGGGAAATTTCTGGGTGAATGCATAAGGTGAGAAGTGTCTGTTTCTCAGTGGTCCTTCACCTGAGACGGTAGATCCTGGCAACATGCCTCTAGTCCGCCCCATGCTGCTCAGCTGACACAGATGGCAGAAATCCAACCTGGATGATGATAAAATCTGCTAACTTAGTCATCCGATGTGTCTGAGTCGTTCACTCTATTTTCTTAATTCTGTTTTTGGAATTTGGCTGCTTCCAAATTGGAGCTGACGATTTTTGGACTCATTATGAACAAACGAGACTTTTGATGCAGATTAACTTGCCTTTTATACAGCTCAAATATTTTCAAACTTTAGATGGGCTTCATAAGCAGTACATTTAGTTAACAAGACCTGACTAGTTGATTTTGTTTGCATATTGCTGAGCAAATCGAAGGCACACACAATACTGGGTAAAATTATATATACTGTAAGTACAGAGATATGAGTATTATTTATTAGTATAGTATACTTATTGATTTCCCTTGACTCTGGTCACATCTTGGATGATAATTTTCACAAAGCTCATCATATAGAACTATACAGGTTTGTCTTATACAAGAAGGATTCATGCAAATATTGAACAAAATGAGGTATCTCTGTAGTATAATTTCACAGAGTCCTGCAGTTTGAGCGTCAAGAGCCTATATATGATTCCCAAAATGCACTCTTTATGCAGACCCAAAATGCTCGCACATCACTAGGATTAAGACTTAGCCATTGGTTTCAGTACGTCACTCAATACTTAGAAGCTTTGAAAAGAACAACCAAATTTGAGATGACCTGCACCTGCTGCTCGTTCATTTTTGTAGAGGTTGCCAAGTGACGTTAATTGTGTGAAAGCTAGGATTTTTTGGCACTCAATGTTGAAAGGTCATCTATCTCTTGTGTTTTAACAGCACATACATACTTTTGTCTCTCCAGGAGCAGTGAAACACATTTGGAAATATGTTGTTTTGGAGCAGAACAGCTTGATATTCCTTTTGGAGTATTTATTTATGGTTAACTCCTCTTGAGCATGAGAATGAGAAATGTGTCACTTCCTCTTGGCATCCCCTTCCACTGCCCCTGTTGTGTCTGTGTTGAATATTCATTGCAGTTGGCATCGCAGGGAAAAAGTGACATACTGATCAGTCATGCTATTTTTCACCAACTGCATTTACAAGATGCCCTGCTTACACCCTGCTCAACATAATTTCCCCCGCTGTTATAACTGAACTGGCAATTAAATGATTTGTTCCTTGTTGAATATCATATTTCTTTGTAGACCGTGTTTACATTTAGTATAACACATTTTTGGGGAAGTGTTGGAAAGAGTCAATACATTTGATTTGTTCAAGTTTAGATGGAAATGAAGAGGCTGGGCATGTCATTAAAATAATTTTTTTATGCATTAAGTATCAGCTTTATGGATTTGTGTGGTGAAGGGTTTTGTTATATTTGTCTCGGTCCTCAGTACAGGCTTCCCTTTGTTATTATTATATTATTTTGGATTATATAATTTTACATTATATTAATTTTTTTTTTATACAATCCTGAAAATTATATTATTTATAATAAAGAGGGTTTTTTTCTCATACTAAATATTTATATTTTAATATATTAAAATAACATAATATAAATATATATTAATATAAATAATATATTATATATAATAAAAAAGGTTTTTATGTTTTTATTTAATTATTGGTTTTTTTATATATATATATTCTTTATATATATAGTATTCCTATAAAAAAGCTAAAGATTGCTTTTCAAAAAAAAAAAAATAAATAAAAACTTTAATAATTTAAATTATTTTAGACTTCATTAATTAGTTGTTTTAAACCTAGAACAGTGCAAACATGACCAAAAACCATAAACTCTCAATACATAGTGCAGTTTCTTATCTTAGTAGCTTCCTGAATTCGTCCCTGAGTGTACTGCAAGTTTCTTTGAAAAACAAACAGGCAGTCATTTAAATGGAATTTTTATCCAGTGTTAAAACAACTACGGCATTCCAGTACAATAGAGTTCCTGCATCTTTCCGGTTTTCTAACCTTTAAATAAAATTCTCTCCTCAGCTCAGCGATCTTTTCATCCAGTTTGAGGAAAAGCCTCAAGGGGCCGCCTCCCTCGCTCAGGTCCACAAAGCGGTACTTCCTGATGGTAGGACGGTGGCAGTGAAGGTGCAACATCCCAAGGTCCAGCACCAAAGCTCCAAGGACATTGTTGTGATGGAGGTAATTACCGAGGGAGCAGGGCTGCCGATGCCTGGTTTCTGATGCCTAATTCACACGTTCTGTCATTGTCACACACCTATGTATAGCTCGATCCGTCTAGGGGCCTATTCACCTCCCATTAGTGCTTTATAAAATAGAATCCATCATTTAACCAACAGTTTTATTCATTCATTTAATTGCAAATAGCCATTTGTCCATGCACCTACAATTTCATTTGTATCACATATAATTGCTTTATTACGGCCAGGTCTTATTTAGAGTCTGGGCTTCAGTTTAATGTATTTATACAGTTTACATACCCTTTCCAGAGACTGTAAGATCTTTAGTACTTTTTTTTTTTACTTTTTTGCTTTCGTCAGAGTCTGCGACACTCTTTTGGGGTTTATTTCGCAACTGACTGATTGATTGTACTTTATCCATTGCATGCATGTTATGTGAAATAGTTTCAGAAAAGTTTTAGTCCAAAAAAGTAAAATAAAATAAAAAAAATCAATAAAATATAAAAAATGTAAACATATTATTTACATTTGTAATTTAATTTTACTTTTCTGGCCTGATGAAACTTTTTTATATAATATACATGCAATGGATAGCGTAAATAAATAAAACTAAATGTGTGTCTGTTTTCAGTTTCTCCTGCAGGTTGTCCACTGGTTGTTTCCAGACTTTGCCTTTATGTGGCTGGTGGAAGAAGCCAAGAAGAACATGCCTCTAGAGCTGGACTTCCTCAATGAGGGACGAAACGCTGAGAAAATAGCAGACATGCTCAAGCAGTTCAAGTTTTTGAAGGTTTGTGACAGTGTTATTCAGTGTGGCATTTAGTAAAACCATCAAAAAAAAAGTAAATATTTTTTCCCATTGACAGTCTTTGTGTGTACGGCAGCAATTGGCCTTTTTAAAAGATCTTAGTGTCTTAAATGACATCGGGTTTTAAAATAAAATAAAACTTGCTAGCCAGGTTCATAAATGGCTAAATTACTTTATTGAAGTGACCACTGATTTATACTCAACAGCCTTCAGGAATTAATTTAGTTGCTTTACTTTTTGGAAAGACTCAAAGAGTAGTGTGCCCTTCAAGGCTGTACGAATGCAATGGAAAATGAGCGAAAACTCATATTTCAACAGACTTCAGCACTACAAAACAAAAATCTCAGACTTTTTTGACATTTCTACATCTTATTCTGAGAATTGTCAACTTTCAAGTGAAGCAAGTCATATTGCAAGTCCCACTAAAACACCATACTAGCTTCAACTTACACTTTTTTCACACCGTTTCGGCTAGACGCCACGAATCAGAGTACCCTCATATTTCTCCCCAGCAAAAAGACTTTGCAAGGTAAATAATCTGTCATAACAAGTGCCAAATGCTCCAGGCAAGTCCCTCTTTCATTTTTAATGAATAACAAAGAGACCTGGCTGGCCCTGCAGGGTAATGAGAATTGCCTGGGTTTACACCCGCAGATCTGTGCCTCTAATGCACACTATTAGCTCTGTCAAAACATTTGACAGCGGAGCACAAGCCGCCATGTCAGGAATAAATCCCCGGCTCTCTGCATCAGCCTCTCACCCTGTAAAACAAGCGTGATTATACAGCACTGGCAGTGCAGCGGATTCGCAGGCAGTTTAGAGTGTTTGGCTGTTCCACAAGGCAGACACTGAGCTGAAAAATGGCTCTGTTTATATAGTGGTAACGGAGGGATTTTTTATAGTTGACGTTCGTTTGATAAAGAGAGTGGGAGAGGAACTAGGCTGAAAGTGTGTAGCTGGAGGTGGTGGCAAAAGCCAGGCCTTAGTATCAGGTGGAAGAAAATCATCATAGAGGGAAAAAAAACAGTAAATCTTCCTCATTATGTAGAGAACGTTTTTAATTAGTGAGATGAGGTGGTAGAGCGATGCACCAGATAAGCAGTGATGTTCAGGAACAGGAAGCTGTTGTATGGAAAAGGAAGGTCATCTAACGCATCAATAATGCCTTCTGCTTTGAGCTTTATGTGCAGATTATAGCTAATTCTGAGCATCTGGCATTATCCGTCACAGAAAATCTTATAGCTGGAACCCATTTTCTCGATGCCATTGTCTGGAAGTACAGATAGGCCACGTACACACTACAGCTAAATTCGGTTGTCAGTTCACCTTTTACCCCTTAATCACGTTCTGTACACACATAATTCACTAAAATACGGGAGTGACAGCCACATTCGACAATAGTATTAACTCCCGAAAAATACAGGTAGTGACAACCGCATTTACCGAACTGAACAACTAGTTGTTAAAGATGATGTCACGAGAAGCACGCCAATGTGCTCGTATTGTCAAGCGTCAAGTGTTTACCTCAGATCTGACAGGATGGCGGAGAGAGGTGTATTGTGGACCGAGAGGTCAAGAGAGTGTAGGCTGTTCAATAACAACAGTTTAAAGAACAAAACTAGATTACGGCGCCTCTCCCAACGACGGCGATTAAATAACGTTTTGCGTATTTTCGCATGTCTTTGCAGTCTAATTAGTTTGTTTTGTCAACAGCAGCTAACACAAAACTAGCTAATCTGCAGGCCACCATTCTCTCCGAGACGCCACAACGTTGCTATGGTTACCACGCTGCCATTCACTCCCGCATTTAAAGGGGTCCTATTATGCTCTTTTACAAAGTCTTGATTTTGTTTTGGGGGTTTATTAGAACATGCTCTCATGCTTGGGGGTTTGAAAAACGCATTCTTTTTCACATAATTTACATTATTAAAGTACCTTTCTCCCCAGCCTGGCACAAACGGCTCGATTAGTTCCGGCTTTGATGAAGGTCCACCTTCCGAAAAACAAAATGTGTTGTGATTGGTTAGCTGTCCCAGTGCGTTGTGATTGGCAAACAGCTTAGACGGTGTTTCAGTACTGTCACGCCCCTTGCTCCGTCTTTCAACAAAAGCTTTTTGGCAAATCCGGCACTGTACTCCCTCATGTTGTGGAAGCTGTCCTCAGTAAAATGCGCAACACACAATAGCAAATTGGCATTATAATGCTCAGGAACATAGTTAAATAATAAATTGCAACCACTGTTTCCTGACATCATCTGCTTTCGGAAGCCCAAACAAAGACGTTTAGGCACGGAGGTGAAAAAAAACAGCGTTTCAGGCGGTCGCACACCGGACGAGAAGTGCAGCGTCACGTCGCGCCATGTCTTTAAAATTCGAATACATTATTTTCTATGAGTGTGGGCACACCGGCAGCGCCGTTCAGTCCAGCTACGTCGTGTTGTACTTGTAAGAATTGTTCTAGACATGCCGAAAATGTGACACTACAGCACAGCAGCTCTTCTTCTTCGTTTTCTCTGATGCACTCACTCTGCAGCAGCACTTCTTCATCGTCGTCTTCGTCATCTCGTCTGATGCACTCACTCAACCAAGTGTTCTAACCACAACCTCGCCCCTCCCCACCCCCCAACCATTCTAATTTCTGTAGGCGGGAATTATTTGAATGATATTCTAATGAGCCGCTTTGTGATATCACAAAGCCCGGAAACCAACGCTGTAGCCCAAACGAGACGTTCGTTGTAGTTCTTGAAAAGAGATTTTTTAAAAACTAAATATCTCCCTTTGGAGTGGACTTTGAGATTTGTAATTTTCGAAACCTTTTTTATGCCCAAACATAACACACTACACACTGACTAACATTAAAAAAGTGAAAAAGCATAATAGGACCCCTTTAAATGTGGTTAACTGTTTATAACTGTTTTCCAGTGTTTAGTTTCATTACTGCTGTTTAATAAGTCAATTATCACCACTATTCTCGCTCATACTCTGGTTTAGAGATTTGAACAAACATCTAACGTTAAATATTAATCTTTGGTGCATAATGTGTCCAGCAAAACACCAAAGAAACTGCATAGCAATGCTCTAAAAGCCACTCAAAACACCCTATCAACTGCATATGAACACTTAAAACACTCATCTCCATAGAAACCACATCTCTAAAAACCACTTAAAACACACTAGGAACTTATAGTTTTTAGTCTGGGGGTTAAAGCAACCTTCCCAGAATGCAAATTTGACAGAAGGGACCCCAGGCGAAGGGAAAAAATGTGGGAAAAAAATAATGTTGAGGCTAGTTTTGATTAGCAATTGGGTTGGTTTTGTTTCGCAGACCTGGCAACCAGTGAAAGGTGAGAGAGGACCAGGCCTTGGACTTTACATATTGGTTTTGTTATGCGGCAGTCTGCTGTGAGTCGGCTGCCACTTACTTTTGTTTTGTTGTTTATGTTCATTTTGTTAGTAAAGATATGTTTGCCGGGTTCCTACCTCTGCCTTTCCTGATTCTTGAACTTTGCACTATCTCAACCAATTAGAATACTTCATAAGACCAATTAAAAAAAACATTTTTAGTGAATTGTTGGCCTTCTGGAAAGTATGTTCATTTACTGTACATGTACTCAATACTTGGTAGGGGCTCCTTTTGCTTTAATTACTGCCTCAATTCAACGTGGCATGGATGTGATCAGTTTGTGGCACTGCTGAGGTGGTATGGAACCCCAGGTTTCTTTGACAGTGGCCTTTAGCTCATCTGTATTTTTTGGTCTCTTGTTTCTCATTTTCCTCTTGCAACTACAAAGCAACTTCTTAGCAACCTTATAGCAATGCTTTAAAAAAACACTCAGAGCACACTAGGGACTGCACAGCATAAAACTACTCAACTCTCTAGTAACCGCATAACAATGCTTAAAAAAAATACTTCGCTCCCTAGAAACCACACGGCAATACTCTAAAAAACATTTAGAACTCTCTAGCAACTGTATTGCAACCATAGCAACACTCTAAAAAATACTTCCTTCCATCTAAATAAATACAATACACTGAAAATTGTTTAACTACTTTGAAATGTTCTGAAGATAGAAAATTTTCCTAGCTGGATCACAGAAGTGCAAAAATGTTAAATGTCAAAAATAAGACTTGGGAATGGGATTGTGTTTTAGGGATATTCTTTTAATTATTTATTTAAAATGCATATCTAATTTGCCTAGAACAACTGAAATAAGATGTGGCACAGCTCATCCTGTAAAAACTGACTCGCTGCAAGTATATGACATTTGCTGTGAATCTGAACTTTGTTTTGTTTTCTCCCAGATCCCGAAGATTCACTGGGACCTTTCCACCAAGCGTATTCTAACCATGGACTACGCAGAGGGTGGTCAGGTCAACGACCGAGAGTACATGAGGAGAAACGGCATCAATGTCAATGAGGTAAGAGAGATGCCCTTACCTCTGCAGAACTCTAAAACAGAGCACCAGTTCCTCAGAAACACTCTGAACAGCAGCCCAACAAACAACACTTGCCTCAGCTCCAGCACTCAAGATCGCTTAATCAGTAATTTCACTATGCTAATGAAGCAGTCACGTTCCCTGCGACGTTTGATGCCATGGGTTCTGGAAGCTTTGAAGACTTTTCTCTTTGCCCTGTTCCGAGAGGCTTTGACATCGCTGAAATGGAGGCTGCTTGGTTTGATGAATTATGCCTCTCAAATTTCATTTCATTTTTCTAGCCCTTAGCAGATGAGCACTAAATTAAATCAGGCTCTTTTTCATATTTATATCACAGACTGTTTTTCCGTCGTGGCTGCAATTTATTCTACTCCGCCACTTTTGTCAGCACAAGCACAAGGGCGCTGCGAGATCGAGCGCCTTTTTAATTTTGCGCTTTCGTTAAGGTGACTCTGGTCTCAGGGTGAATGCGGTTGCACACAATGCCTTCGGTTAGAATGGAGGCCCTACTGAGTGAGCTAATCTGTAGTTATGCGGGGCCAGGGGACGAATAAACTGAGGGAGATGACTTTTGTGAGGCCTGGGGGATAACGGAGAAACAAATGCTAATGGACTATTGATCGATGGGCCAGTGTCTGTTCACACGGGGATATTTTACATCAAGATTGCCAGTGCATTATCATTTTCTTGTTTTTTGATGATGGTGATGTAGGGTAAAGTTATCACTTTGTCAGCTAGTTGGGAATAGTTTAAATAAAATTAAATGGATAAAAAGATAGATAAGTGAACTTCACTCCTCCTAACATGCAAATCACAAATTTTGCAATGCTCTCATCATTGCAATGCTCACAGGTGGGCGTTATGATCAAAATCTTATATAACATTTCCCATAAGTTTATATCACAGTATCTTGCACAGTTTACAAATTTGGGCTGGAAATTCAGTTAAAAATGTTTATATTTCCAATAACGTGTGGTAATGCCTGTTTTTGGATAATATAGTGCATATTAAATATATTTAATCCATTGTTTCTTTTTATTAGGTCCATAAATAGTCTTAAATGGGTTGCACAGGTCTTTGTTGACATATGTTGATGGAAACACTAAAGATTTTTCTATTTAGGCGTTTTCACACTGAATAGTTGCTGTTGAAGTCTATTTAAAGTCTATTCAAACGTTGTAATAAAATGTCTTAAGTTTATTTCCATGAAGTATGATGATGCCTATATACTTATATATTCCAATATACTTATATACAATATACTGTGGTATATATACTGTGGTATATCGTGGTATATTGTACAATATACTGTGGTATATTGTCATTTTTTGATGCGTGTCTTTCTCATTAAAAAAAGAATGTCTGTTTTTGTCCATACAATGAAAGTCAGTGGGGTCCAGTGTTGTTTGATCCTCAACATTCTTCAAAATTTGCACACTTGCAATATATACCATCTTGCCGCCCAGCTCTAGTCTCCTCAAAACACTTCCTATAAACATGGATGCTGTTCATCGATGCCTTCCTGTTCACCCAAATATCACATCTTGTTCTGTTCAATATTTTAGTTATTTCAAATGCAGCTTCCTTCATCATATTCCCAGATTTCATGGATCTCTCACCCATGGAAGAGAGGGAAATATGGAAAGCAGACAGCGAGATAGATGATGAGATGGTTAGAAACGCAGAGCGAGAAAAAGACTGCAGCCGCTGAAAGCTGTGCGAACGTGCTGGCTTTTGTTAAGTGACTAAATGGGATCATTTTAGCACCTGCTTTGTTTGTGTCACTCTGTCATTATATTTCCTCCGACCTGTTTTGTCTGTCCGATTTAATATGCACATTTGCTGCCAGTTTGTTTAGCAAAGCTCGCTGAGGCTTTAAACGGCAACCTTTCCTTATCGTTGTACACCCAGGCATCAGTGAGCCTGACAGACGGGTAAACACGGCCTGAAACTGGTCTCATAAGCCACTGAGCCGTGCTTAAAGGGCACCGCACACCTTTGAAAGACGGAGGAGGGAACGGTCGGCGGGTGGATGGCACATCAAGCGTTTATCACACCCCCCTCTCGCTCGCACTCACATGTACCCACGAGTGCACATAACATTTATTTTCCTTTACTTGCTGTCACGCACAACCACTGCTTGGATTTTTTCTGCCAAGCTGTTTTTCTTTTTCTTTGGAGATAGCGGACTGGGTTATGGGCGGCACTGATTAACTGATGTTCCCGGTACAGTGTGGCATATGAGGATGCGTTTTAAAAGAAAATGGCGTACACATTTTATGCAGAGCTTGAAAATGCAATCAAAGGGCTCGGTTCATCAGACTCATTTGGAGTGCAGCAATTTAGCGAATGCTTCCGCTTATATTTTCCCTCTCTCGGTTTAATGTGGTGCTGTGCGTGTGTGTGCACGACTGCGTCTGAGCACTTTTAAGAGGGTTTTAGAGGTTCGGGGGAATAAAAGTGATCATGGTATTAGCAAGCGTGCCACGTGGCCGCACAATGGGGCTTTACTTAAGAGACGCTCTCCATTGGAACAGGTTGAAAAGGCAGTACAGCCCGCTTGCTTAAAAAGACACTTTATTTTAAAATCGCAGAGCTACGGGGAGTTAGCAGAGCTGGTGGGAAACAGAGCTGGAGGCTGCAAGAGGAAATTAGTCTGCTCTCTGGAAGGGCATCCGAGCAGCGGGACCTGAAGACTGAAGAGCATGTTTTTGGTGCTTTAAACCGCACCCACAGTCAGAGTTTTGTGTGAAAAGCTTTACTTTATATTCAAAGAAACGAAGCAGAAATGTAAATACAGTAGCCCCCAAAAAACACACGTAAGCCACAGTTACTGTATATGAATATATTTTCTTTATATGCCAAAATATCAAACCAAGTGGCATTTATTTTAAAGAAATATTATACAAGTACATTATTTTAAGGAAAACATTTTAGAAAAAGCTTTTTTTTTTCATTTTATAATTTAGTATACTTTAGTGAAATGTTAGTGGAAGCCATAGTTGTAGAATTCTGTCTAATATTACAGTTATAATATTATAAAATTTTTGTATCTTCTAATTTTCATGTTTCTATAATTGTATTTATTAGTTATAATGAATATTATTTTATATTTATATAATAAATATTAGCAGTTTATGCTTAAAATGTCTATGGCATTGCATTATAATAGACAATTTTATATCTAATGTGATTTTTATTTAAAAATTATTATATGTGTGTTTGCATATATACAGTATATATATATATATATATATATATATACACAGACACACATGCACTCATAAATTTAGTTAATCAGTGTCGGCTTTAAATGAATGGATGCTATACTTCCATTATCTGTCAGTTTGCATGTGTTTATCACTGAATCCATTCATATAATAAACTGGACATATGCTAATTGTATAAGCACTATTAAATTTCAGTTTGTTGGTTGGAAATCCTGGCAAATAGGGAAAGACCCTTTGGGAAATTAGCTGTGTGAAATTCTAATCAGTGTTAGATTTCATACTGTCATTGGATTTTGTGTCTCCCAACGCATATGTTGACAAATGTTAGAATGAGAAATTGTTCTACTGAGCAGGGTTGTGTGTGCATATAGTTTTGTGTGCTGGTAAACAATGTAGATGGCCGATTGGAAGGGGTGGAAAGAGTAAAAAGTCATAACATTAGTATGTGTTGTCTACTAAAGGGTTAGTATGACTAGTATGATATTTAATGTAATGTCATCATAGTGCAGTGTTCATTTCTTTAATGTAATGACATCATTATGTTGTGGTATTTTTTTTCTCCTATGATGTAATTTTTTCTGCTGAACCCCAACCCCCCAGCTTAAACCAACCTACAGTAGTTTGTTGTTTTCCGAACCTGGCCAAGGTGGTGTTTATCTACTTTAGCTGGCTAGTGCTTTAGGTTCTTTAACTTACCATAAAGAGGTCAAGTTCAGTCAGCTGTCCTCCCTAGACACCCTCACTTCCCCTCAATCTGTCAGTCATGGTCTAAATGCCCCATCACCCTGTTCCTTCCTCCTTTGCTCTGTTTCTCTCTTGCATAGAGGTCACAGGTTCATAATATCTGACAGAAGCTACAGATGTTTTTACACTCTTTTCATGTGACAGCAACAGACCTTGAGTACCTGACACGGCTGACACACATACAATAATATACACTGATTCTGATCTTTAAAATCTGTTAATTCTGTTTTCTCTAAGTCTTTTTCTCTCTCGGAGGTTGAGAGTACATTATAAAATCACTGCATGCAAAATATTCCTCCCAGATGATTAAAGTCAATTCTATATTAGCCAGCATCACGGACGATCCTGCCCTCCGTAACCTCGACCGCTCCCCCTGCAGTACTCATTAGCCGCCGGTCAGCCTTTACAATGCTCACAAAAGTAAATAAAGCAAACAGTGTAGCCAAGCGCTTTATCTGGGCCGAATACTGGCTCCGGCATTAGCCAATGATGATGAGAGTTATTAGACAGCTGATGAGATAGATACAGAACATAATAAATGATGGAGTCTACCTCTGAAAATGGATAGAATTATTAACTGGCTCTGGCATCCGCGAGCTTCTGTGTGGGAGCTGGCGTGTAAGTAATCAAAAGATTGATGATGGCTGGAATGGACTTCTCTCTCTGTGTTCTGCCAACGTGCACGGAATCTCTGAATGTTTTATTATTTTCTTTACTACCCAGATCCAGCAGAGTGTAAAGACGCCGTACATTAGCTTGAGCTAAGGTCCTTATAGAATGTAGTTTATTAGTATCAGTAATGACTGCTGTGTATGTGATGAGATTAGTAATCGCCAATTATCCCTGTGCTTAAACCTACTGTAAGCATAAGCATGTTGGTGCAATGGCTGTTTTATATGGTAGACAAAAACATTAGGCTTGTTTTGACCGATTTGTAAAGTAGCATCATGGATGATGCAATCCCAGAATGCATTGCAACATGCTCAGTAATTTCCATTCAACAATGGAAAGTACTACTAATAAAAAGCTCAGTCTAAGTAAGCTTGAAATATTTTGCCTAACATTTGTATGTTGCTATAGTTCCCTATTGTTTGTTACCTTATTTTATTATTTCATTTGGTTAGTCTACAGTTAGTGCTGCTGTTGACTTCTATAGGTTTTGGAACAGGGCTATTATGATATTAAGTTATAAGTGAATGAAAGTAAGAAAGTAAACATATGATCAGGCTAATTGTGAGTTTTTTTTATTTATATTGTGCGTTAACATGGTTTTGGCTGTGTTTGTAAAATAAAACCCCAATAGCACGTAGTTAAGAGCATGTGACATAGTAACCAGTGTTTTTATAGTGTGACTGTGTGTGGTAAGTCAAATCCCATCTGGCCGATCCTTCTGGGTCAGGCAATGCAAGGAATTATCTCTATTAGCAGTGATTCCTACATCATAGAGAATTGAGCGCTCTTTAAATAGCCACATGAGCCTTTGGGCTGCTGTGAGAGTCCTCCTCTACTCCACGAGGTCTCTGGAGGGCCTTGGATCTGTTACAGCATCCATGCTGCTCTGAGAGAGACTGAGAGTGGAGGGTGAATCAACCCTGATGCTATTTTTGCCTTAAGATGTTAGTAGTGTTTTTATCTTTTTATTTTTATTACCCCCTTTCTCTCTTGCTCTTTTCCTTCTCTCAGAATGTCAGAATTGGAAAATAATAATAATAATGATTTCTATTTTTATTACAATTTTGGCATTTTTTTTAAAGGAATTGATGAAACATGACAGGAAATTATGAGAAGAGGGAACAGGATGGGGTAATCACATGAGAGAGAGACTAAAACTTGCATTGCCTACATGTGTTGTGTTGACTCTGAGCTATTTTCTGTCATTATAAGTGCATTATGAGTAAAAAATAATGTACAATAAATGTATAAACACTCACATTCAAAAGTTTGGGTCAGCCATATTTTTTTATGTCTCTTATGCTCATCAAGGCTGCATTTATTTGAATAAAAACAGTAATATTATGAAATATTATTACAATTTAAAATAACGCTTTTCTATGTTAATACAGTTTCAAAATGTAATTTATTCCTGTGAAGGTAAAGCTGAATTTTCAGCAGCCATTATTGCAGTCTTCAGTGTCACAAATCATTCTGATATGCTGCTCAAGAAAGATTTCTGATTATTATATGTTGAAAACAGCTGTGCTGCATAATAATTTTGTGGAAACTATTATACTTTTTTTCAGGATTTTTTGATGAATAGAAAGTAAAAAATAACAGCATTTATTTGAAATAGAAGTCATCTCTTTTGATCAATGTAATGTGTCTTTGCTGATTAAAAAGTATTAATTTGAAAAATCCTACTCGTATAAAAAAAATTGGTCTTAAAAAAGTATCAATTTGTGGCGGTGTGAACAGTGATAATCTAACTTAGTGAAAAGTTGGCAAAAACAAACTTCGCTAAGAGGTGTTTCGCTGAGTCATATAAACTACACACAAGTGTGCTTTTCTCCATGATCTGACTGAGCTTGGCAGAGTATGCGCATGTGTTGATATTATTTATGTGATTATTATGAAGTATGTAATGAGGAGGTGAAGACACCCAGCTGTCACACAGAGCAGAGCCAGCGCTGGAGTGAAGCCGCTTGTTAAGTGTTGCTCCTTCATTTCCAGCGCCTATTAAAAGCCTCAAACTCAATTATATTCCTCAGGAAGTTGAGTCCCCTTTGAGAGATGCTGTAAGGCATGCTAAAATGATTTGGTTTGTCTCAAAGAGTCATTACAACCGCAATAATAAGTTGTGAAAGACTGTAATCCACATCTTCTGAATCAGACCAAATCTTTGACTGGTTGGAACCACTTGATGTTTGTTTTTGTCTCCTCGGAAGTGTTTTAGGCTTACTGTTGGATCAGTTTGTACTTTATTGCTCTTGTTTTGTGCTCTGTCAAGTGATGCAGTGGGTATCATATAGAAAGATGTGTATGGACACACAGGTGGAGGTCACTGTATAAAAACAATAGTTTTCAAACTTGTCTGATTTTAAGGAAGACCACTTGACTGATTTTGAGAAGGCTATTAAGCCCCATTCACACCAAGAACAATAACTATAAAGATAACGATATTAGCTTCCACATGAGCGAACGATATTGTCTGTTTATTCTAAGCGCACACTCGTCTGCCGCTTTAAATTCTCGAGCTCGTTACAGCAGGAAGGATTCTGATTGGCTGTCAATTGTTTATCGTTCATCAGCGTTTTGAAAGTGATTCCAACGATATCGTTTCTCTTTGACTTTATCGTTATAGTTGTGGTGTGGACTCTGCTATTCTTTAATATTGAGAACGATTTTTAGAACTATATCTTTATCGTTATCTTTATAGTTGTCCTCCTTGGTGTGAACGGGCCTTTAGTCTAATGGTTTTTATTTATATATATATATATTTATATATATATATATATATATA